ATCCCTAGTCGCAGACAGGATCTGAAAGCGTTTCATTCTCTTGGATTATGTTTTACAGGCTTTTGAGCTGCACAGTCTCTTGTTCCATTTGATGCTGGGCTGACCGTCCTCGGCGGGGAGGATGAGAGCTGCTGGGATCCCAGCGGCACACAGCAGGGCCTTGCGGAGTGGGACAGCATATCCCCCCGGGATCAATCCGACGAAGTGGCCTGGGACCCTACGGCGCCCATCTCTGCCGTGTGTGTCCCTTGTTTGTTGACTGGCTAAAATCCAGTGCTACCGGCTCTGTCGGCGTTACTGAGAGTCTTGCAGTGTTGGGTCCTTCTCTTAAAGGATGCAAAAGCCTGCAGGAGGAGCTCAGCTTTCATTTTTATTAGAAGGCAAGTCCTCAACTTCCTGGCTGTGAAGAAAGGCTAGGAAATGTGCCTTGGGCGAACCCTAAAGGCTCAGAAACCAGGCGACCAAAAAAGAAGCCCACTTGTGTTTTCATGTAAGCTTGTTTTGTCCCCAGTCACATGGTCCTGAAGGGCTTGACTCTTCATTAGCAATATTGTAATTGGCTCTCCTGGGATTCAGCATCTGTGATTTGTGAACAGTGACAGGCAGAGCTGTAAAAATTTCAGACTTCAGCACCCAGGTCCTTCTGCCAGCTTGCTGACTCTTGCACCTACACAGCCGAGTCTGACTTCTGGCCCTTCCAGGTTGGAGCGAGGCCAGAGAATGCCTTGAGAACAGTCACTTTTCCTGAGCTTTCTCTTCACTTTCCTTCACAGCAGCCACCACCCTGGTATGGAGCCTCTCTCGCAAGCAGGAGTGGCCCGAGGCGGGCTGCGGCAGCTGGCACCCCAGGTGGAATGTGCAATCGGCGCCCCCGCCTGCACGGCTGTCAATGGAGTAACGTCATCATTGGGCTCCCCGTTGAAGGCGGCGTCCTAGGCAACTGCCAAGTCGGCCTATAGTCACGGGCCACTCCTGCTCGCAAGCATGGGACCCTGAGAAGTGCAGAGCAGGGACTCCGGGTCCCTTAGAGCAAAGGGCCCAGATGCGGAGGAGTCGTCGTTTTATCCCAGCTACTCTGCCCACCGGGTCTCGTCTGCATCAGAGCGTCTCTGCTGTGACTCCACAGAGACAACAGTTTTTTCTAGCCTTTCCTCTTTGGCTGCAGGAAACAAGACACTGAACCTCAGCTCGGGTGGGGTGATTCTGTTCACGGTGCACGAGGGAGACGACATCCATGAGCTGAGCCAGGCAGGGGAGCAGCCAGGCCTGTGACAAGACGTCTGAGCAGCAGACTGCTTTGTGCCTCACCGACTTAGCACTTTGGGCAGGAGGCTGGACTCAATGGCTCCTGAGGGCTCCTCCAGCTCTGGGATTCCAGGATTCATTTTCTCCCCACAACGCGGTCCAGGCACAGTGCCGACCTGGCAGGGCCTGCTCTCTGAAGAGAAGGTTTTTTCCTAGAGGGTTTGCGGCTATCACCAAAGAATCAACCGATTTCAAGAGCACGTGGCTGAAGCCATGCTAAGGTGTAACAGCCAGTGCCAGGCTGCGTAAGATAGCAGCTGCCGTGGGGGCTTTGGGTCAGCCTAGTCTGCAGCACTTGGTAGCTCACCTCAGCTGCAGGCGTTCTCTTTGGAAAGTGCTCCTGCGCCACTGCCTCTGCCTGGGGCAGGAGCGGGGGGGGGGGCTGCTGCCTCGGCATGGCCTGCTGGAGCGCCTGAGGTGTGCGTGAGGCCAGCCACGAGACCTGCTCCGCAGGCCGGCTCAGGGGCTGGAGGAGGCAGGCTGTTCAGTGAGCAGCTGTGAGGGGCTCGCAGTGAGGAAGGAGGTACGTTTCTTCCACATGCACAGGGCCCTGCGGGCTGGCCCAGCGCATGGATTGCACCTGTGGTGTTTTGTAAAACTCTTTCAAGCTGAGCCTTCACCTCAGGCCTCGTTGTCAGAATGACCCATGGCAGACAGCAAAACGCCACAGAGCCGACCAGCCGACCGGATGGGAAATCAGTCACTCGATTTATTTCCTGCTAACGCACCAGAGAGAAACCCCAGGGAACACGAGCTCCACCTGCTCCAATTGCCTTTTAGCTGGTTGCAGTTTACAGGCTCGAGCTCACACTACATATTCACTGCCAAGCAATGCAAAATGGCAGCATGACTCTAACCCAACACCCTCCAGCCTCACTCCCCACCCTTCTCGCAGGGCTGCAGACACAATGACCCTTTCTGTTCTGCTGCTGCCATGGAGATGGGGAAAGAAGTGAAACCTCTCCTTAACTGGGGCACTGCTCTCAAGGGACTAAGAAGGGCCATACAAAACATTCAGTCTTCAGAGATGCAGGTATCAAAGCTGCCAGGCACAGAGATACATCCTTATTTTAAAAAAATTCAGAAAGGGAGCCATGGTAGACTGCAACTTTAAAAACGAGTGGTCCTGTGGCACCTTAGAAACCAACCAGAAGATATAGGGTCACGAGCTTTCATGGATAAAACCCACTTCCCCGGATGAATTGGACTGGAAATAACAGAAACCAAGAGATATATTTAACAGCAAAAGAAATTTATCTTGCCTTTAACATCTGCATTTCCACATGAAAAGCTATGTATGGGACACATCTAGCCCACTTAATTAGCCTCATTAGCACGGGTCCTACAATTGACAGGTACTTCTGTTGTTATATCTAACTCTTGGTTTCTCTTATTTCCACTCCATCTGAGGAAGTGGGTTTTGCTCACAACAGTTCTTGATTCTATATATTTTTGTTAGTCTCTAAGGTGCTACAGGACTACTTTTTTGTTTTGTTTTTACCCTCATTTTAAGGCTATTGGAGAAAACCAGGGTATGTTATACAAACATTTTTACCTACAATGGACTCGAATGCAGCTGGGAGACAAAAGGCAGTAGCTTTATTTTGGAGGACAGCACGTAGGTTTTGGGTAGAGACTGAATTGCGACTATACACACAGTCCTGTTATCAAATAATAGAACCATATCTCAGAAGTTCTAGTTTTCTGAAAATTTTCACATAAAAATACCATCTGGAAACAAAGCGAGTGGAGGTTTAGCTATTTTTTTCAAGTTACAACAGGTAGCAAAGTCTATGTACAGCATTTTCATTAATGACAGTTTCAAAATAACCTCAAACGGTTTCAGTATGAAATATGTGCTTTAAAAAAAGATCAGCTATACACGGTGTGCAGCATTGGAAACACAGAATGGAGACAAACAGGCATTGTCCTGTCATAAATCAGAACGAAAAAAAAAAAACCACAGATCAGATAATGCAATGCTAGAAGCTACCTGGCACTTGAAGCTGTGGGCACACACATCACTTTCTACAGCAGGGAGTTTTAAAACGTATTGAAAACAAAGGATTTGATGCACATAAGGTCTCCTGTAAATAATGCACCAGTGATTATTGGATTATTGGTGATTCTCTGCTCTCAACACAGGCTGTGATAAACCCCCTTGCTCTGTCACCAAGGGAGGACAAGCGTTTGGATGAGAAATGTTATCTAAACTCCAGATACTGCTGGAGCGTTTCAAGGAGCAGCCTGTTCGGGTACATCAGAGCCGAAAGGCAATGGTTGCTTTTTGCACAAAGTAATGCCCCGCAATGTGAGTGAACTGATGCGTCTTGCTGTACAGATCTTAGCAAGCTATGTCACCTGGAGGCACATGCGCACATCACAGGAGTCTAGCAGAGCGTTAGTCCCTGAAGGACAACTCAGAATTGAATTTACCTAGAGAATGATCAGAGGCTGGCGGAACAACGAAGCATGGTGCGTACAGTTCTGCAGTTCACAGAACGCACTGGGCACGAAGGATCGCTTGAGTCCTACACTATGTCGGATGTTCTCACATAGCTACAGGCCCTCAGTCAATGATTGAAAGGTGCAGCACATACTTGGTTTCCTGCAGGGCTCCCTGGCTAGCCTCAGAAGCTACACGGAAGGCCTGTAGCTGCTCGAAGGAACGCCACAGAGTGCTAGACTTCCAGACTGCCCAGGGTTTTACACTTCCCATGGAGGCATCAAGACACTCAGTAAACTGTCTCCGGGCAAGTCCACGTGGAACTGATGAGGAAGATATTAATGTTCTAGCAAACTCTCCAGGCCCATCACCCACTGCCAGACACCTCAGCAAACTGACAGCCAGAAAGAAACGTCAGGGTTGTCCCTCTGTATAAAGCAAGACTAGATCCACGTCTGGGGGCAAAGCGAATACACCAGGCACAGTTCTGGGAGGCAATTTCCTGCCATCCTCACTGCCCTTTCCCTTCTGGAGTCCAGGACTAAAGACTCTGAGCCAAACCCTGACACGCCCAGACTCAACCAGGGAGCTCGACTGGGGAGGGGCTGTGGGAAAAGTCTGGGCTGGCCTGTAGGGGTGATGATGCTGCAGGGGCTGCAGCGTGGCAGGGACTCCGAGGAGGAATTCAGACTGGCTGCTCGGCGTTTCCTCCCAAGGCTCCCTGGAGAGCCTGCTCCAGTGGCAGCAGCATCACCCATTCCAGGGGTAAGGCCTGCGCTCCCCTCTGTGCCTGGCCCTGCTCTCCTCCTAAGCCTCATTATGTGGGGAGAAGAAAACTCTGTGTGCCCTCAATGGAGCCTCGGCTAGGGATCCCAGGGTCTGCTATTGCCAACTTGAACGGCTTCGGAATCAGGGGTTTCTACATCCCGGCGTGTCTGCAAACCTGATTCCACAATGCACTGGAATTCTAGGGCACAATAAATACGAACCCCTGTGAACCTCCCCCACCCCTCCGTCCATCCCAGGGTCCCGCCCATGGTGCCTGTCTGCAGAAGTTATTCCTGTAGTGTCCAGATGCCCGAGTCCATGGTTCTGATCGGTGCTAACACGACACCAGCGTATTTACAACCAAACTCAGCAGGGACCAAGTGCACTTTGTTGGCAATAGAGCGTTGCTCCGACGGTTACCACAAGCCCGTCACCAGGCGAGGGGGGAGGTCATCCGGGGACTGCGCTGGCTTTCGCAGGCCTGCACGTCACCAAGCGCCCGCTGCAGGGAGAGAAGGGAACAAAACAAAGCGCCATTGGGCAACGCTGCTCTCCCCGGACAAGGAGAACGCGTCAGGCTCACAGGAGCATGCGGCACTGAGCCTGCTCCTCAAACGGCCACATGCACATTCTACCGGAGTCCATGGGTGGTGAGGGCAGTAAGTCTGGTTGCAGGGACGGTGGCAATGGAGAGAGGGTCAGACCTACTGTGCCCAGCTTTCTGTGCGGGTGCAGGAGACTGCGCCAACCCTCCAAGAGGGACGTCCTCGCTTCCTCCCCATAACTAGCACAGCTCGCGCTGTGCAAAGGCCAGCTTGCCCCATGGTGCCCTGCGGGAGTGCTCAGGAGTCTGCCTCCTCCTCAGCCTTGGCCTTCTGCTGGGCCCACTGGCAAGGGCACCATTAATGCCAAGTCTGTTGTGGACCTCGGTGCCCCTGTGCTTAGACTCAAGCCCGGGGCCAGCGCCCTTCACAGTCTCCTGCAACAGCCACCAGGATGGGAACAGCGGTTGTTCCACCTTCCACCTGTCAGCCTTTGGCGGGGTGACCCTGAGTGAAAGGCTCTGAGCCAGCCAGCTCCTGACGTGCTCGTCTTTAACGACTTGGATTCTACTCACATCCGGAGCCAAACTCTGTGTGAAAGCTCAGCTAACCCGACCCGGGCCGTTCCGGCGAGGTCCCCCCCATGCCAGAGGGCTCGACAGCCATGCAGCTCACCTCAAACTTGCTCATGAACTCAGCAAAAATGCCAAAAAAAGATTCAGACGTGGTCACTTTGGAGTCCTCCCCGAAAAAGCTCAGCACTTTGCCAAATTCCTCCATGGCCTTATGCTGCAGGTCATCCAGAGACTGGACGGTAGGGTGGGCGCTCTCCAGGAAAGACTGAGCGGGGGTTTAAGGGAAAATGACACCATGGGGGGCAAGAGCCTGATGCTGCTTATTAAGGGGAGAGTCTTCACCTACATCCCAGCAAAGCATCTCCTGCAACTGAGGCACAGCAAGTGCTGGCTGATAAACTCGTCAAAAAGAAACCCTCCCCCCAAGGGGCGATAGCTCTGCGTCTATCATGGTCAGCACAGGGAGAGACACCACTGAGAGCCCTCTGCCCACTGGCTTCCCCCAGAACTCTACAAAGGCATGAGCGCTGGCAGTCTCAGCACAGCGCCACTGAACACCCTCGGACCTCCAGGTCCTAAGTAGGGATGTAAAGAGTTAACCAGTAAGCATCAGCCTTACCGGCATCCTTACTGGGATAGATCGTTAACTGATGACCCAACCCAGACAGAGCAGCCCCACCTGTGGATGGTGGGTTTGGCCAGGCTGGAGCAATTCCCCGCCCACAGAACGACATAGCGGGCCTGGCTGGACTGGAGCAGCGCCCAGCCCGGGAATTTTCATTCCTAGTCATTGGGGCAGAGTCCCAGCCATGTTCTTTGCCAATGGTGGCCACTTGCTAGCTGGCCCAGGGCTCAGAAGGCACATGGCCATGCTTGTGATCCACCCGTTCATGAAAGGATACATTCATCACAACAGCAAATCTGTCCTCCTCAGCGGCTGGCATGTGGCGGCAGGCAGTCTCTATTTCACTGAGGGTGGTGCGCAGGTCGTGGAGATCAGCTGTTAATGTTCTCTGATTCACTGAGGAAGGAGGAGAGTTGAAAACAGGGCCGGGGAGAGCGCTCTGATAGGCCAGGAGCAGTGGAAGTGAGAGCCAGAGGTCAAACGCACACCCAGGGGCTTTACAGCTGCCCTTGTCTACAAGGCAGAGGTTCTTTGGGAGGTAAACATCCCAGCATGTGCTGCGCCGCCTTGAGCGGAGTGGCCAGGCTTCACTGCTTTCTGGGTGCTGCCAGACCTCCAGGAAGGGACAGATCCATCCCTACTGACCTCTGCCCATTAGCCCAGAGCGAAGGGGTGACTGTTAGGAGGAGACATGCAGAGAACACTGGAGACAAACTGGGTCTGGCCAGCGCAGGAGGCATAAAGGGCTCAGTGGCAGAGGAGGCAGAGCAGTTATGGATCCATGGGTATTTTATATGGGAGGGGAGTTCAACCACAAACGGAATGGGTGGAAGGGAGGACGTTGGCTGTTAAGAGGTAGTGGTGGAGCAGGCACTGAGGAGAAAGAATTAGTTACAAAGGAAAAGAATCGTTTTAAGAAAAGCTAGGCCCAGTGAGAGCTCTGGCCAGGTATATTACGGGTGCTACCAGGCTAGGAGAAAAATTAAAATCCAGGGGCCTGCATCTCCTGTCTCTTTCATCAGACCAGTTTTATGCTGGTGCAGCTCCACTGACTTCAACTGAGTTACTGCCAAATGTCAGGGAGCAAGCAGAGACTTAGCCCCATGTTCTGGATTCAGCATGTGTGGACTGTATGTTGGAGCATCACTGACACATGTGCACGACAAGCCAAAGGGCCATGGGATCTTTCAGGACTAACACTCACTTGTGTCCTGCCTGCAGTTAGATGCACACTCCCCGGAGCAGCGCATGGTGTGGGGATTGTGTCTTGCTAAGGCACCCAGCATAGAAACGTTATTCTAAATGCCCGGATCTGTGACCATTACAGCCACCTTTGGCACACCTGAATACACAGGCGCGTGGGGGCTACAGATCAGGTGCGCTGTCGGGCCCCCAGCGTGGCTGCGCTATGGCCCAAACAGGCCTGCGTCTGAGATGCCTGGGAGCTCAGTAACGCTGGAGTCGTTCAGATGTCCTGTCCTGAGAGCGTGACACCAATGAGCCACAAGAATGAACCGACCCGGCTAATGTTTGTGAACGATCACTAAAAATAACTCATCTTCACTGACAAAAAGGCACGTTCTTCACCACAGAGTTAACTGGTGCAGGAGCAACTCTGAGGTAAAAAACCATTCCAGGCACATTGGTTTTATTCAACGAGGACTCCTGTGGCACCTTGAAGACTAACAATGATTTGGGCCTAAGCTTTCCTGGATAAAACCCCCTTTGTCATTTTGACCCACAAAAGCGTATGCACAAACAAAGCTGCTAGTCTTTAAGGTGCCACAGGTCTCCTCGTTGTCTTTGCAGATACAGACTCACATGCCCCCCCCCTCCCCCCGCCCGAGGATTTGGTTTTATTGGGAGGTACATTAGCCCAGGCCAGCACTAAAGGGTGTGGCTTAAAGCCAGCACAACCAAAGATGATGCAAGGTCACACAACTACCACTGTGTGTAATGTCTCCTTGGGGTGTGCACAGCCCAAAGGGCAGAGTCTGGGCTGAGTTAAAATACACACTCTAGAGTTGGATCACTTCCCCCAGGACATCTGCGCACTCAGCCACCGGAGGCTGCTAAGCTGGGCTGAAAATATCACAAGAGCAGCTCCCTTCTGAGATCTCCAATTCTTCCTGCTTCCCATGGGGCCAGAAACCACCGGGAACCTTCCTTATGGTGCTACGGTTCTCCTCCACTGCTCACCAGGACCTGGAAGGGCCAAGGCGCAGCGTAAGGAATAACTAGCATTAAAATGTGAACCAAACATTTTCAAGCCACAAGGAAGGTTCCCTTGAGAGATGGGTCCGAACTAGACCCCAGATCCAGACACCTCCAGGCTTTCTGGCTCCAGTGCACTGCAGTCTATCCAAGCTACGTTCCCTGTCTCGATTTGGGTCAGACCACTGCAGTTCATAGGCTACGCCTAATGGTGGCACAGAACCACGGGGAGGGGGCAGGAGAGTCCTTTCTCTGTGGCTGCTCCTTGTTTATTTACCTTTGGCAGCAAGCGGCACTGTAGGAAGGTCCTTGGCAAAACCCAGAAGCTCTGGGAAATGTTGGCTAAGCGATTTGGCAAGAATGTGCAGGAAAGTGGATTTCCCATCCACAGTCTTGGTTGTGTTCAGCTAGAACAAAGCAAAACAGGAAAGGAGGTTCCTAGCTCTTGCTGCCCGTTCAGCCCACAGGTGCCTCTGCTGGGGTCACTCTGTTCTCACGTTCCCAGGGACTCCCCCCAGCAGCGCCGACCCATTATGGGTTAATGTTTAAATGTGGCGTTTAATGTTTACACTGTATGTTAAATCCAGCTCAGTCACACGGAGACAGTAGATGGCATTTCCCCATGTTGGGGGCCACATGAGTCTCCTTCCACCTCTAAGGCCTCTGACCCCTCCGACACCCCTGAGCTGCATGAGAGCACGGACAGGCACTGAGGTACTACAGCAGGGGTGGGCAATAATTTTTGGCTGGGGCCACCCCAGAAGGGGCAGGGCCTAACCTGGAAGGGGCGGGGCCAGGATGCTTCTGGGCTTCCCCATCCCCAGACCATGATTGGTCTGGGGATGGAGGTGCCCCTTTGCCCCCCCTTCTCACTAGGCACCCAGGCCCCTGGAAGGGTGAGAAGAGGCTTCGCACGCTTCCTTTCCCCAGGCCAATCACAGCTTGGGGGCGGGAGCGTGTGCAAAGCCCCAGGTCAATGACGTCTCCTCCCGCCCCACGAGCAGCACATGGTGCTTCAAAGTGCCGTGTGCTCCTGACAGGGCAGGAGGAAGCTTTGCGCGTATCCCCGCCCCCGGACTCTAATTAGCCTGGGGGCAGGGGAGCAGCAGGGCCTTTGTGGGCTGGATCAACCCGTTAGGCGGGCTGGATGCAGCCCACGGAGGCCCTTTTGCCCACCCCAGTACTACAGGATGGTAGCGGTAGCAGGTGCCACCCCAGCACTGTTATTAGCCCCTGCCAACCTGGAGCTGAGTGTGAGTCTGAGACCCCCCCCATGGCTGCACAGTGTCACCGCTGGTCCAGCCCTGCTTTATAACCCTGTCTTGGCATGCTCCCTTCCAGGGGCCCTCCAGCCTGTCTTTGGAAACGCACCTGGCTCCCGGTCCCTACCGGAGATCCCGGATGCATGGGCAGCAGAGGACAGCGTGCACGGTGAGGATCGCTCCTACCCGCCTTACCTCGGTGAGGAAGTTGATTTTAAAGCCTGTTGTTTTGTTGGTCTTGGGCTGCCCGTTGTTCAAGTAGTTCCCCATGGCCAGCACAAACTGCAAAGAGAACCTCCCGTCAATGGCCAGTCACTGACCCTGAGCCGGGTCTCTCCCTCCCTCCCTGGCGCCTGGTTCGGGGCTGGAGCAGACCCACCAGCAGTCAGCTAGTTCTGGTGCAGCACCTGGAGCACCGACAGAGCGCCCTGTGGGGTAAGCTGAGAAAAGGGTCTGGCACGCACACACGCTGAGCGCTCTCCCGGCCAAGCGATTCGTCGCATGCGTTAGGCAGATGAGTAAATGGGAAGGGCGACATTCTGTCTGCTCGTTGGCAAGGCCCTGTCAGTCTCGTCTGTGCCCTGCCTCGTCCGACCAGACGCCAAGCAGGGCATCCCAGCCCCAGGGGAACGTGGCCGGTAAATTGGGGTGTGGCCACAGCACCCTATTCTCTTGGCTCTGGCTGGCAGCAGGTGCTGGGGGGATATGCACTGCCCCTTTCAATGACAGCTAATAAGATGCCCTGCCCAGCGGGCTCAGGACCATCAAAACTTTCAACCAGTTCTGGAAACTCTTCCCCTTCCCTAACGGGGGATATGAATTATACCACGTGGGCCATCTCCAGCCTCTGCTACCTCTGCGGGGAAATTGCAATCATGCTGCCTTTGGGTATGTATAACCACAGTACACAGAGTGTGACGATCAGCTGTTGACCATGTTAGGCTAGAGATGAGCAAACACTGTCTAACTCTAGGGATAATTAAGCACTGAACAGGGGAACTAGGCGAGCTCACAGACTCTGTGTCATTGGAGGTTTTTAAAAAAAGGCCAGGTACCTCTCAGGGATGGTGTAACCCTGCCTCAGTGCAGGGGGGATGGACTAGATAACCTCGCAAGGTCTCTTCCAGCCCAATATTCCTCTGATTCAATAAATCAGGACTTATGTCAAAACAGCCATTTTCCCCCTTGTGCATAACTCAGCTGAATTATTTCTGAGGCCATGTCGCCTGTGGGCAGAGACAAAGCATGGAACCTGCCTAACAAGCAACAGAGAGAAAAAGCTCTGGAGGTACATCTACACTAGCCCCTTAGTTCAAACTAGGGAGGCTAATGAGGGCGACCGAAATTGCAAATGAAGCGCGAGATTTAAATATCCTGCGCTTCATTAGCATGTTCCCGGACAGGCGCCATTTTGGAAATTGACTAGCCCGGAATAACTGCCCGTGTCTACATGCGGCAGTGAAACAGGAGTTGGAAGTAAAGCCCTTAATTCCAGGGGGAATAACAGCTAATTCAAGTTACACCCCGAGATCTGTATGGAGTGAATTCTTTTAGGTGATGCTTTCTCCAGAGCCATTCTTCCCCCCCATTCCAGTCCCTCTGATCCTTCACAGTCAGGCAGTGCAGGTCTGGGAATACGCCAGGACCCCCAGAACGGAGCTTCCAATGTGGTGCTCTCATGAGAAACCCTGGTCACAGTCACTGGAAGAGGATTCCAGGGGAGGCCCCAAGACCGGTCATGACAAGAAGTCAGAGGAGCTCAATGGAAGTGGGGGCCCCCTTGTCCCGCCCGGGAGCTGGAGACGCCGCGGGGCCTATGTGAATTTCTCGTATCTAAATTAATCAGTAGCCAGCTCCTGGCTCTGCGCTAACGAGGTGTGAGCTGGGTTGCTGCAGAAGGGTCATTAAGAGGACTAAACATTCCTTTGGAAATGTCCTTTGTCACATTCTTTTCTGTTTGTTTCACAAGTTTCTTCTGCAGCGGGGGTGGGAAACCTTTTTTGGGTCAGAGGCCTCACACAAATGAAAGGCAAAAACGCCCAAAATCCAAACTCTCACTGACGTGGCCCCTGACTGAGGAGAAAGACCCTCCCCAGAGCCATGGGGGGGCCAGCCTAGTAGATTTTGTGTGCTCAGACCTGTGGTGGGGTGGTGGAGCGGTGGCGGGCTGGAGCACTAGTGTGGGCTCCACAGTGCTGGGGGGATCTCTGAGCCTTGGGGGCTGGATCCAGGCAAGCTGGGGATCACAACTGGCCCCCAGGCCTTAGGTTCCCCACCCCTGTCCTACAGCATGACATCCTCAGCTGCCAATTCTCCCTTGATCCCAGGGCTGGTCTGTGATGGAATAAACCAGCAGAGAGCAACAACTGGAGCCTCCGGGGCTCAAAATGCTGTTGTAGAACCACTAGGCCACATTCACAGGGATGCCACGTGTGGCCTTTCATCTCCAGGGCGCAGAATGGAGAAAAAGAAGGCAAAGAAACCACTGCACAAGCCTAATTGCTCTTAAAGAAACTGACCTGCTACCCGTCACCCCTCTGCAATTCTCCCGGTAGCAGGGCCAGCATTACGGTCTACCAGAACCAAGCCTGCCGCTGCTTGGCACTTTGCTCTGTCAGGGACCCCGAGCCCGGGGAAACTCCGCAACCCCCAGCCTCTGAGCAGTGAGACCAGCGGGGACAGGAACAACCCCCTGGCAGTTCCCGTCTCTGGGAGTCAGAGCAGAATAGGAGGTGCCCCTTCTGGCAGACGCGAGGGTGGAAGTCTCTTCAGTGAGCTCCTGGCCAGCTCCCCCACTGCCTTCCGTGCTCTGGCCAGCGGAAGGCCTGAGCGAATGTGCTGTTTCCAGCTGTCTTCCCATCCCATGGCAACTGTGATGCCCCCCCAGGCTAATGCAACACCAGCCTGGGCCCCAGGGTGCTGATGGCTGGAGGGTGCCCCAGCACGCTGGCAGACTGTGCGCGCTTTGCTGGGTGGTGGAAGCTGGATGCCCCCCAGTGGCTATGACTGGCAATAAGGATTGTTTCCTGACCTCTAAGATCTTAGCCAGCTTCTTGCTGCTTTTCAGCTCCAAGGAGGCCTTGCAGATGCACTCATAGCTGGCTTTGAGCTCCTCGGCCTTCTCCTGCAGCGTGGTCTTACAGTACAGGCTGCGGAGCCGGGTTTTATATTCTGGTACTGATAACATCTGAGGAAAAATGGAGCAAAAATAACTGGAGTCACTGCTCATTCCCCCTCCGGCCTCCCCCTTGCCATGCAGCGTTCCCCGTCATGTTGCAGAACTCCCTCTGCTGTGAAGCAGCACTCGCCTGCCCTCGCTCAGGTACCACCGACAGGCAGCTGTGGCGCTGCTGATGTTTCATCAGCAATCCCTTCCCGCTCACGGCCACGGACTGGGCTCAATGCCAGAGTCTGTTACTAGGCAGAAACTCACAGCTGGGCAAAACCACAGGGTCAAAGCCCGAGCCTGCCGCTACTTGGTAGCTCCGATGTGTCACGTTTGCCATCCATTCATAGCGCGGCAGCCACACAGCTCAGGGCAGCTCACAATGCCAGGCCACGTACGTCTATGTCATCAGCTCAACCAGAACTCCAGGGCAGATCTGACTAGTCCGCTGACCTGCCATCCCACGCTAACAAGCAGGACACCGAATCCTGACCCTCACCCCCCTTGGCATCGCGTTCCTGCTGTCAGGTGGAAACTGGCCGGAGCACGGCATTATTTCCAATAAAAGGAGCTGGCAGCACGACAGCTACTAACTATGGCATGAAAAGAAATGCAGCTGTTGATTCGGGAATTTCCTCCTTGACTCACCTCTGCCCTCGCCTCTTGAACCCCTTTCTTCTAACACCCTCCTGCCAAAAAGCCTATGAGCCCAGAGCTTGGCTCAGAAACCACTGGCAAGCTGGACCAAAGATGATTAAAACCAAGTCTTGTTAATAATCGTGGAGGTGCCACGATGTGAGCTAAGCCTCCCTGCTCCCCTGTGTGGATTTCCAGGTGCGGCACCTCCGTCAAAGGGTCTGCACCAAGTGGGGTTAGACTGTAGACTCCTTGGGGCAGAGGCCTTGTCTCTGCCAGTGAGTGTAAAAGGCCCAGCACATTCTGGGGCTACCTGATGTTTTTTACCTAATAACAACACCTGTAGCTGCTTGATTTGATGCAGGTTCGTCTATGCCACAACGAGCATGTATTCTCCTATAGCTGCTTCCGTCCACACTGGCTGGAGTTTCACTCTGACCATGCCCGAGTGCATGCCACCTACCTGCAGGACAAACTGGTCTGGCTCACTCAGCTTGCTGGGATTGTCCTGGTAGTTCTGGTACTGCTGGACCTCCTCGGCGTCAGGCGCGTACAGCAGGAGCTGCTTGATGTGAGAGGACTCCAGGCGGTCGCTCTCCATCGTCATGAGGATCTGGCGCAGCTCGATGTGGGAGAGCTTGAGGTGGGCTATCAGGATGGCTAGGGAGCAGGAGGAGGAGCAAGGGCATCAGCTGGGGCACAGGAAGGAAGCAGACTCCAAAGGCTGGTTACATGCTACGTGGATTTTGGTGACAGGGAAAAGCTGCCGGGTCAACACCCCAAGGTTAGCACCTCCCAGGCGAGAGGGCAACTCTCTGCGGAGAGACGGCCACCTGCAGGGCTGTTCTGTGCCTGGGCACCTCCCTAACAAGCACTGGACTGGGACAGCTGCAGCTTCTCACCCGAGTCACCAAACCGCAACCCAATGCTAAGAACTTGCAGTCGCTACCCAGCTGAGCTGGACAGGAAGGTGCGATCCAGAGAGGAGACTCCATTCCCCTGCCCAGCCCCCTTTATCCAACGTGTGTTTGGAATGTGGCTCATTGACACAGCTCCGAGTGCAAGCAACGCAGCGTACTAGCATGAGTGACACAGATCAAAACCATGCACATCACGGGCTAGGCTCCCCATTGGGCTCCCTTAGAGTTACTGGGGTTCAGGTGCATGATAAAGTCATCAGGGACCCTGCCATTCTCCACAATGTGGGGAGAAAAGACTCTTTCCTGGGGCTGCCCCATTATTTGGGCTGTATCCACCCCGTCCAAGCCAGTGAATCACACCCTATCTCTACAGTTCTCCTTCAAGCCTTCCTCTTGTTAGTGTGGGGCTGCTAGCCCACAAAAACAGCACATTGTAGGGGTCTCCAATGTTCCCTCTCAGATTTTCCATCCATGTGCGGAACACATTTTGTCATGTGCTCCAAAGCATTTGCAGATGTGCACCACCAACAGTAATACATGCTGCTGGCTGTGGTCAGCTGTGGGCACTCTGCCAATCAGCTGGGTGACAAGTGAGTCTCTCCTGGGCGGCCACCCAAGTGCTCACCTTACAGGGTACACTGGTGGTCTCTATTGTCCTGTATTGACCAATGCAGCCAAGCAAGCTGGGATGTACCTACTTCTCTTTGTTCTCTTTTTTTACCTTTCCACTTCTCTAGACTGCCAGGGACTGCTGTTCCACCTCAGGACTTTTTTAGGGTTTTGCTTCCACTCTGACATTTACTTACATGTGTTGTAGGCCTTTTTGTGAGACAAAATTTCAACCACGTCTTTCTTTTTAAAGGAGTCAGGCAACAGAGTTGGCTCTGGAAGAGAAACTGAAAGATTTAATCAAACGTAAGGACAGGCTCAGCTGACTCCAGCATAGAGAAAACTGGGCTGAAAACAGTGAGATAATGAATGAGACTAGAGAGACATGATGTTTTGGGCACAGGAATGGCTCCGGGAATCCTTGAATTCTGTAATTCAAAGATCTCCTGAATGGAAGACTCACGCTGAGCTGAAAAAGGTAAAACAAGAGGTGAGAAACACAGAAAAATCCTAACCCATCTGGGTGAGTTAGTACCACCTCACCGCACCCTGCCAAAAGCCTCCCAGACTGGCACCCCCGAATGCCCCTCCAAAAGCCGTATGTTCCCTTGTTGGATTCATTCCAAGTGAGCACAGAAATCCCACTCAGGTTTTATTCTCAATTCAAATGAATCACAGACTCTGCCTTTCTCATGGTTGGTCGCCACTTCCCCCCACACTCAGGAGAGCAGTCAGAAGTTACCCATCTACCCTCCCTCGGAGACAAATTGCTTATCACACCCCCATGGCCTGACTGCATACGCACACGTGCTTTTTGAGCTGTGGAACTGGTCTACCTTTGCTGAAGGTTGCCCTGCTAAGAAGGCAGACCAGGGCTCATGAGTTTCACCTGAAGTTCTTTCTAGCCTGTGCTGTTAGCCTCTGACCCTCTGTCTGCACCCATAGATGTGACCTGCGTGTCACATAACTGTGATGCCGGGTAACCTCGGTGCACCGTATACGCTGTGTCTACCAAAAAGCCACTACGTTTAAATTTTGTAAAAATGTACATTTGAAACACACAAAAGGAGAAGGGGTTGGTTCCCAATATGCTTCCATGACTTTTTCAGGGCCTGGTTCTCAGCAAGGCAGAAGCCCAAAGCTGCAGTTCAGTGCCTAATTTGTACTCTCAGGCTACGTCTAGACTGGCATGATTTTCCGCAAATGCTTTTAACGGAAAAACTTTTCCGTTAAAAGCATTTGCGGAAAATCATGCCAGTCTAGACGTAGCCTGAGAGTACAAATTAGGCACTGAACTGCAGCTTTGGGCTTCTGCCTTGCTGAGAACCAGGCCCTGAAAAAGTCATGGAAGCATATTGGGAACCAACCCCTTCTCCTTTTGTGTGTTTCAAATGTACATTTTTACAAAATTTAAACGTAGTGGCTTTTTGGTAGACACAGCGTATACGGTGCACCGAGGTTACCCGGCATCACAGTTATGTGACACGCAGGTCACATCTATGGGTGCAGACAGAGGGTCAGAGGCTAACAGCACAGGCTAGAAAGAACTTCAGGTGAAACTCATGAGCCCTGGTCTGCCTTCTTAGCAGGGCAACCTTCAGCAAAGGTAGACCAGTTCCACAGCTCAAAAAGCACGTGTGCGTATGCAGTCAGGCCATGGGGGTGTGATAAGCAATTTGTCTCCGAGGGAGGGTAGATGGGTAACTTCTGACTGCTCTCCTGAGTTTACACGCAGAAGGGACCCGGTATTTCGAATTAAAGCCCTAAATCGAACAACCTGTTATTCCTCCTGCAAGGAGGTTTAATGGTAGTTTGAATTAGGAGCTTTAATTCGAACTACCTAGTCCGCGCCATGTGTAGCCGCAGGCAGGTAGTTCGAACTACGGGCATTTAAAAATGGTGACGCCTGGGAACATGCAAATGAAGCCCGGGATATTTAAATCCCAGGCTTCGTTTGCAAGTTCAAATGCCTACATTAGCCACCCTAGTTCGAACTAGGGTGGCAGTGTAGACATACCCTCAGTTACCACTATTGTGAGCGCAAATCAGATATTTATGCATGCAGTTCGCCAAATAGATGCCCAATTGGCCATTTGCATGTGCCAATATCCTAATATGCATGGGTCTGTAGTAACTGTGTGCAATATTTAGATACAAAATCATGCATGTATTTTGGGGCAGGTTCAAGCTGCTGGCATTTGAAAAGGTTAAGGAAAAGAGGTTTTTGCATATCAGCTCTCCCATATAGTGCAGGGAGCTGAGATACAGCTGCATGAGAACCAGTAAGTGAAACTGAACACAGAACGTGAAACTGTCCATCTGAGTTTCACAGGCTCACATGAGTGAAATGCAGAAAATAAACAAACAGCATCACAGAAGAAAATTAAGGGAGATTTTAAATACTAATCTGAGATATTATTTAGCATTGTGTGGAAGAATTATTGGTAAATCACTGTACATGACATCTGTAGCGAAAGCATCCCTGGAAATAGCCCCTATCTCACTGATCCCTTAGCTCTTTCTTCCCTAGGTCTGTTCTGGGGCAGCACTGGTGCTGGTGGCAGCCTGGCTGTTCACAAGAATTGGTTTTCTTACTTGCAGGCTTTTGAGTTCCAAAATGAAGCTCCAGGTCGAGGTATTTGACCATATCGCTCAGTTTGTCATAATCGGAGTCTTCTCCAAGCTGCAGGAAGAATATAGTCAGTAAGACCCTGTCTCTGGAGATCTCCTTGCTGCACATCCCCATTCTGTGCTGCATTCCCACCCCAAAACCTAGGGATGTTATGTTGAGATTAATTAACTAATTGAATAGTCTACAGGATTTCCATCGATTAGTCTATAAGGGCCTTTGAACCCTGCTGGACTCTTCCTACATTTCAAAAGCAGAATCGCAGCAGAAGCGGCAAGAGCGGAGACTGCTTCAGTCCCTGCTCACATCGTTTCTCCTGGCGCCTCTACCTCCCCTACCCCTCATGCAGACAGTTCCTGGGGGAACTGGCTTTTAAGCACCAGCTCCTGCTCCCCCCTCCTTGCTGCCTCTCTCTGATAGAGGCAGCAAAGTGGGGGAAGCGATTAGTCGCATCACTAGCCGACTATCCAACAAGCTTAGTCGCTTACATCCCTGCCAAAACCCCTTATATTATGCAGCCCCAGAATACCTAGAGGCAGGTGCATTACTCTGATAATTGTGGTTTGCCCATTACAAAGCCACTGCAGACCCTGGAGTCTATGTGGTCATGAATTTCTCCCTTACAATGTCTTAGAGCTGAGGTGGTTTTTTTATATCAGAGTCTGACTACATCCCATGGGACCATGCTCTGTGCAGAATGAAGGAACGAACCTGGTGATTCAACCCTCCAGCATTTCCACTAGAGTTATCTTAGCAGGTTGTACGACCTTCAAATTAAAACCCCACCTCTCCAGCATGTTTCTTGAGCAGATACTATTTCACTACAGCACACAATGGGAATTTCAGAAATCTCAAGGGCTTTTTATATCCAAAACAATTATTGCGCAGAAAATACTTCATCCCTAGCATCCCCTCCAAAAAAAGGGGGGCAGCTAGAAACAAATGCACAGAGTGCTCCAAGCCAATTCAGAGTTAGGGATCTGAAGGAGAGAGACAGCCCGGCAGGGCCATAACAAGGGCAGGGCAAGCGGGGTGCTCACCCCGGTGCATCGTAATCAGGGGTGCAGTGACACAATAAGTAAAAATAATAAGCTGCAAAAGTAAAGAGCGCGACATGTGCTAGCGTAAGGTGGGGGGAAGGGCACATCAATTAATATTTTGCCCCGGGTGCAAAAATATCGAGTGATAGCGCTGCAGCCCAGCTGCTCATGCCTGGTTTTCAGTGCTATTTAGGGAAGAAGGTAAGTGGCATTTCTGAACAAATCCTTCCAGAGGTTGAAATTTAAATCTCACCGGGCTCTGCTTTTTCCAAATCAATCCACAGCACCCACACTTCCCCACCTCTCACGGAGCGCTATGTGCCACCACTGGGGTGAATCACAGACTGCCTGGCACAGGTCAATAATACCGTCAGATAAACACCACTTTTGGTTCCGGTCTCTCCTCCGTCTCTCCATGCACCCACCCGTGATACCCAGGTGCCAGTCGTCTCATCATTCTTCCGCACAATGTTTAGCTCATCCCTGTTGAGAAAACTGGACTTTCCCATGGCTAGTGGTTGAGGACAGCTGCTGCCCACACTGGCCCTGCCAGAGGGAATATCCCACAGTGTGCCGCTGGGGCAGATCTTATCTGACATGTTTCCCAGTAATAATCGCACCTGACCCTTCCGTGGGCCTTTAGGTTCTGATCCAAAGAAAGGATTAAATCAAACGAAAGGCACCACCTAACGCAGCAGCATAAGAACGGCAACGTTAAGATAGGCGAGTCCACCTATTTTGGGTTCTTGCCTATGGAGTTGCCAATCCTTGATATTCCAGAGGAAAAGAAGAACACCCTATGGAATGCACCTGGCCAACTGGAAAATGCGGCTGCACATGGGGAAACTTTCCTTCCTGACCCTGCTGGTTATGCCCGGGAGCCTGAGATTGGATGACTTGGATTGTTAATTTTGTTGATGTAGACATCAGTGTGACCCAATGCCATCCTGCCCCGACAGACTGAGTGCTGCCGTTCCAGAGGCTGGGTTCCATACAGTACCTGCCCCCAGATGGTGCCTTCTGAATTCTCCACCTGCTCCCACCGCAGCCTTTTGACACTCATGTGGCTGGACTCACTCCTGCGATGTACCAGGCTCCGTTGCAGCAAGGGGGGTGCGCATGGCACTGGTGGGGGAGGGGGAGGAGGGGGAGGGGGAGGAACTGGGTGTGAGTGACTCCCTAGGGTTTTGGAGAGGGGGGAGGAGATATTTCTTGTGGCCTCAGAGCTCAAAGTGACTGTTCTGGGGTCATGGAACTGCGGCGGAGGTGGGGGTGGACTGAGCGGGGGAGGGGGAATGTGATCGGATAGGGTGGAGTAGGTCAGAGAGCTCCCTTCATCGCTGCTGCTGATGTACTCGCTAGCGCTGCTCAGGTCATTGGTGACATAGCTGCCCTGGTCATCGTGGAAACTCATCTGGTTTGGGAAAAAGAGAATGCACCCTTAGTGCCCCATGTAAGGGATAAGAGGGGATATGATAAAGGGAGGATATGACAGAGGTCTAGAAAATCATGACTGGTGCACAGAAATAAATAAGAAAAAGTTATTTACTTGTTCCCATAACAGAAGAACTAGGGGTCACCAAATTTAATAGGCAGTAAGTTTAAAACAAACAAAAGGAAGTATGTCTTCATGCAGCGCACAGTCAACCTGTGGAACTCCTTGCCAGAGGATGTTGTGAAGGCCAGGACTTTATCTAGTTCTTTTTTGAACCCTGATAATTCATGGAGATTAGGTCCATCAATACTTATTAGCCAGGATGGGTAGGGATGGTGTCCCTGGCCTCTGTTTGTCAGAGACTGGGAATGGGTGACGGGAGGGATCACGTGAGGATTCCCTGTTCTGTTCCCTCCCTCTGGGGCACCAGGCATTGGCCAGTGTCGGCAGACAGGACACTGGGCGGGATGGACCTTTGGTCTGATGCAGTGTCTGGAGAGGGGTAACGCGCCTGTAGGTAACTTGGGTTAACGTCACCGTGCAGCCAGGCCCAGGGAGAGCTCCCTGCCACAGGACGGCAGGGCTTTGCTGGACAGCCCAGAATTCCCCTTCGTTGTCCCCAGCCAGCTCCTTCTGCAGGAGCCTCCCCCCAACAAGCCGCTCCCTCCTGCTCTCTGATTCTGGTGCGATTGTTCCTCACCAACGGTCCCAATAGGGCACCCAATCCGAGCGAGCCCAGGAGCACCCTGCGTGCTGCCTTGTCCAGGCCCCTTGCTCACCTCCTCGTAGTCATTCTCGGGTGTGAGGAAGTCATCCACGATGGTGACCCTGTGTCCCAGCTGCTCACTCAAGGCGTCCAGGAAGCGATCTGTGTCCCGGCTGCGCGGGGGCCTGGAGAAGGTGAAGAGCTTCTTCCGTCGAGACAGGGGGCTGAGCGTGTAGTCCACGTGCTTAGGGGAGGGGGCAGGGCTGCTGTCTAGGCTGACGTAGGGGTTGGACTCTGTGCTGCTGGGGGAGGGGATGCTGCTGTGCGGGTGGTAATAGTACTGCTGAGAGGGCAACGGATCACTCTGCCAGGAAATTGTCATCCCCGACTTGCGAACGCCTGCAGGAAACACAGAACAGACTCCTCCAAGCCCCCATCTCCCTGAGGAGCAGGGCTATGAACATTTCCTGGGCTCTAACGCGGATGCCTCGACTTCACCCAGCCATGGGTCACCCAAGCAAATTCTTTGCAGCTCCAGAGCTCATGCAGCCCAGAGAAATGACAGTCCCACATGCCTGACCTGAGCAGAAGTTTCTTGGATCCTGGCATGGCCCCGCCCCGCTCCTCCCCACGGAAGATGAAGGTCTCTGGAGGGTCACACATCAGAACTCTGTGGGCCCCGTTAGACTCAGGCTGCACCTTTGCCTTCCTTAGTATAACAAGTGGCTTGGGGAGGTGCACAGACCCCGCGCTGACCAAGAAAGGGTTAATTAGACCTCTGGGTGCTGCAATCCCCTTGCGAGCGCTGTCAAGCCTGGGCGGGGAATTAACAGAGGGAGCCCAGCTCAGCAGCGGCTGACCTGCACAGAGGGGCCCTCTTTCACCAGCTCCCTGAAAGGCCGGGTGGGTGGGGCCAGGAGATATTTAGACATTGCCTGAAAGAAGGTTTGGCTGGGGCCAGGCCAGGATCAGCTCCCTCTGGAGAGTCTCCCTGTCCCTGGTGGGGATGGTTCCACTTCCCACAGCTGACCAAACGGGGCAGGGGGCTGGACCTGGGAGACTGTTGCCTTGCCCAGACCCTGCTTAGGGTCAGAGTATGAACAGGGGAGCCACCAGGCCCTTCACCCAAAAGGGATGGCCGCCTGTAATAAACTGGTGTTGATTTCACCCTACCAGAGCCCAACAGGGATTTGTCATGAGCCCTCTGACCCCAGCGGCAAAGAGAAATGCACCTTAATCCTGGGACTGCACAGCACACCCCTACCCGTCAGAGCACATTAACTGCCACTGTCCCAAAGCCAGGAGAAAGCAAACCCACCTGCCGCATTTGCCTGGTCTGGGACAGGAGGCGACTCTCTGTGTGTGGCCGCATGAGCCATCTTCCCTGCGAAACTGCTGATCAAGCGATTTTCTAGCTCTGCATAGACGGCCGACATCTGACAGCAAAAGGGGAGAAAGCACCATAAATGCCGGCCTGTGGCAGTGTCTGAGAGCCAGCGATGCGAAGGAGGAAGGCTCTGCCTCCCATCCCTGACCCCAGCAGCTCTCTAGTATCAACGGCGTTAAAGAACTCGCCAGTTTGTAAGGAGCTTTGGACACTAAGGGAAGATGCTTCCCTCTCCTGTGGGTCTCACAAGGTTCTTTCCCCGATGAACTGCACCAAGGCTTTGAAAGCTGCCAGTGCCGCTAGGGACCGACTGTCTGGTAATTTGTTTAGAGAGCCGCTCTGAAGAGCTGCCGAAAGAATTCAGTCTGGAAGCCACCTGGGAAGCAGGTGCCAAGATGATACATTTGCATGCAGCACCCTGAGCACCTTTCCTTTGCACGTCTGCCTTCTGAGTGACCATGAGATCAAGTCACACTGTTCTGCTGCCCTGGGAAGTCAAACGGTTACATATTGAGCGAGCAAGATGCTCCTCTCTCCCAGCCACCAGCTTCCTCGCAGAAAACTCCCCAACAGCTGCACATGGAGATAGCCAAGGAGGTTCAAACCATTTTGGGGTTGGGTGTCTCTGGAAGGGATGTGCCGTCCCCCGCTTGCCTCTCTCCTGGCGTCAGTCGAACTGATACCTCCCCAGTGTCACTGGGACCTGCGGGGAAAGGAAAGCATTGCCAGAGATGTCCCTGCTACCAGCATCCTTTGATTTCACTGCTGAACTTGCCCACCCCCATGCCTCAGAGAAAAGGGAACATCCACTCATAAGAGACTAAGGGCCCGCGCCCTTTAGCAGAACCGTTGGGTGCAGCACAAGGAGAGTTCAGACTTTATGGCCTGTACTGGCCTCAAACCCTGAATGAATGGCGAAGAAAAGGACCTATTTCCTGAAGCACTGTGGGTAATTCGTTAAAAGCTTCGTTTACATTGGCTTCTACACTGTAGAATGGGGTTGGCCACTAGGGGGCAGTAGTGTGTAGTGCAGGCAAATGTGCAAAAATATGTGGATTATGACACTTAGCAGAGAGACACTAGAGGCGCCACCAGCAGCGGGAAGGGATCTGGTGACCAGATGGCAGCTATGGCTGGAAGGAACCCGGCATTTCACCCGCTACTCCCATGCGTCGGGGCAAGACACCTCCCCTCGCTGTGCCGGCATCTCTGTTTATAAAATGAGGTATTCTTCTTAACGTGCCTGCCTCGCTGGCGGTAGGCATGAGGCTTCCTGTAATGTCGCACGGCGCGAAAGGCGCTCCGCATTATTGCAGAAAAATCAACAATGCACTTTACGGGCGTTGCACACATGTGCAGCTCCAGTGGCACTGTTTCTAGCACGATGCTGGGACGTACTTGTCAATAGGTAATTCTGATGTATCCCTCACAGTGCTACCAAGGCATCTTGTTACTGCAACACCAAAGCTTTTTCTCCTTTTTTTAATCAATCCCTGGGTAGTTTTTCATTAAGACACTTGATCCGATTGGTCATGTGCTGGATAACTGCTGAATCCGCAATCTGCACATGAAAAACCCAGGCCACAGGTTCTGAGCTGTTGCCAGAATAAAGGCAGGAGCATGAACAGTGAGGGTGGGACGAGGTAAGGGCTGGAGTTCACAGGGTTACGAGGGGCGAGTAAGCGGCTAGAACAGCTTTCCCAGCACAGCCGCTCCGCTTGCAACAGGCTAACAGGCATATTCCTGAACCAATTCTCCTCTGTGCCAACGTGTCAGCGCCAGGGTGTTTTTTCTGCAGTTGCCATTCATAGCTGGACTTTGTCCAGTCAGACCATATGGGCCAAAGTTAGACCTGGGGTGAGTGGACGGCACACCACGGCTTTCTCTGGAGACGTGCCTGCTTGCACCAGGGTTGAATTTGGCCCCAGTTGTTGAGATAAAAATATTTGGGCCGAAAGGATGCAAATCTCTCCATCTGCTCTTTACCATTTGGAACAAGAGAGGGATTAAAAAGCATTTCCTCCCTGACAGTCACTCGCCCTCCTTTCTAAATGGAACTGGGAGCCTGCTCTTCGGAGAAGTGGCCATGGCAGGCCTGCCGACAGGGGCAGCAAGGGGGCAGCTGTCCTGGAGCGCCACGATTCAAAAGGGTCCAGGGCTTCAAGATGCCACTGCTGCTACTGTGGCAGCCGCCGGAGCCCTGGGCCCTTTAAATTGCTGTTGGAGCAACTTGCAGCGTGCTCTGGGTGGCTCTAAGGCTGCACTGAGGTCTGGCTGCCCTAGCCCCGCCCTTTCTGCACAAAGCTCTGCCCCTTCCAGGAGCCAGCCCTCTCCCCACCAGCCACGGGCCCGGCAGCTGTGTGGACGCCCTGGGCCATGGCAGCCAATCAAACCATTAACCTTGAGCCAAAGAACCAGATCAACCACAATGGACAGATGGGCTGTAACTCAGAGCTGGGCAAACCAGTGTAACCAAACACTCTAACCAAGATCAAACACTGTCCGTCTTTTCTATCCCAAAGCCTCCTTGCTCACGGTCAGAGGAGTCCCGGGGGCTTCTTACTTCCTGCTAGAAATGGGGGGGGGGTTTCAAATACAGCTGAGGTCCAGATCCCCATCCCAGCCCCTTGGGCTATAAAGGAGACCCAGATGGAGTAAGGCCAGCGTCCAGCTGTGTGTTGGGACACAAGAGGACATGACTGGAACACCTTGTTTTGCAGAGATCCTGGGCCAGCTGCATGGCCCCTATAGCTCAATGCGCAATGCCCCCCTTGCTCCCCTGCTTGGGACCTGTGCTGTGCACAGCCCCGCTGAACCTAAAGGCCTGATTCGAAGGCTTTAGTTACAGGGACTGGAATCCGGGAGGCCTCACTCAGTATTCAGGCCAAGTGCCCATTGCCATCAGCGGAGCTTGAAGTGTAAATGCAGAGTATTGCTTTAGGCTTTGGCTCACTGAAATCAATAGAGGCTTTACCTGAGCAAGGCCTGACTAAAGTCTAGATGAGGAATTCAAGACTTGCAGCTCAGCAGGCAGAAATTCACCAAGCGCCCGGCAAATCCAGCAGGCGTGGGTAGCGTGGGTGACATTTAAAAAAGCCGCTGTGTTTGGGGTGTTCGTCTGCATCTCTGGCCCTTTGGCCACACCTTAGTAGCCACACATCACAGGCTGATACCAGCTTCTAGTACCAATTCATGTCACGCTGACCTCGCCAACTCTTTTTAAACAAGTGGTTTGTGCAGCAGACAGCTGGAAGTCTGCTCGGTACAGGCTCTTCCCCAACAGTCTCCTCTCTGTTTGGAACTAAGTCACTCCAAACATTACTAAGCCAACAGGGCATGCTTTCCTCCTGCTTTGGTTTTTAAGAAGGGCAGCTGAGGACCATATTCCTAACCTAACAGCTGCCAAACATCTGTCTGGAAGGGAATGAGGCTTCCTTCTGGCTAGTGCAGTTGCTATGGAATCAACGCATTAATGTCAGGCACAGGAAATCGTCTTCTACAGCAGGTTCCTGGATTCTCCCAAGAGACATGTCTTATACCTGGAGATGCTGACAGCATCCTCCTTTGACAGCTCAGTAACGCGACAGTCCCTGCCACTGGGGACATGTTCACATGAGGACTTGTGTTCCTATTTTCAAAAGCCCCTTATCCCGCAAGTGAAAGGCACATGAGGCTGGCACATCAGAGGAACACGGCTGGCTATGGTGAGTCGCACGGTGCTGAGAAGCCGATGAGCGAGAAAGAGCCACAGGCAGAACTGTGTCCAGGCCCAGGTGCCAGCTGCGTAAGGGAGGTAGCTGGGCTGGGACTGCATGTCCAAACTATCAGGAAGGACCTGGCAGAGGACGGTGGGTGGGGAGGCATGGAACCACCAACAGTGTGATGCTCTCCTGGGGAGAGCTACAGGGATTGCAGAAGGCTGAAAGAGGCCCTGCAGGAGTGTTGTTATGATCAGGACAGGGATATTGGTGGTGCCTTATCAGCGGGAGGGGGAATGAGCCGTCTGCTGAGAACAGAAGGAGGCTCAGTGCAATTCACTCTCTGAGAGCGGATGGGGAGGTGAACGAGCCGTGACCCCCTTCAGAACTAGCGTGAGCTCCTGGGATTTTCCAAACACGATGTCAGGGCTGAGTCTGGGAGCTCTGGACATGCGCTGAAAGAACTATGGACCCAGACAGACAGAAATGAGCTACATCCCTTAATGCTGCAGCAAGGCTTATCCTGGGAAGAGCCATGGGGGGAAGTGTGCAGAATGGCTGGGATTACTGCTAATCCACTCGCCTGGGGGCCCACTGTAACTCTCCCCCCCCCCCCCGCCGT